GCATTCCTCATGTGTGTTATGTTTTATAGGCCTGTCTAATCTTTGTCTGGAAAGTGGACTTTGGGAATGGTTTCAGTTCTGAAACTTTTCTCCTGCTCTGTCAGGGACTCTCTGTTATGTTCCCTGTCAGGGCAGTCATTTGTGGTAGCCAGGCACTATCTAGTTCTTCTGGTCTCAGGCTGATGAAGTCTCTGGTTTATGTGGCTCTTTCTGTCTCTTGGGCTAATACTTTCCTTGTGTCTTCGGTGTTCTTCGTTCTGCTTTACTCTAGGTGTTTGGGACCAATTGCTACATCTTAGATGGCCGCTTGCAAGCTTTTAAGACCCCAGATGCCACTCACCAAAGTAGGATGCAGAACATTTTCTTAATAAGCTTTGTTATGCCCGTTGACCTAGATGTCCCCTGAAAGCATGGTCCCCAGACCCCTACCCCAGCTACTCTGTCCCTCAAAGTGTTTGATTGTATTCAGGAAGCTTCGTAGCTTTGGTTTAGTCCAGTTGTGCTGACTTCCCCTGTAGTGTGTGTTGTCCTTCACTTCACCTAAGATAATTCTTATCTACTATCTAGTTAGTAAATAACCCTCACCCTCCCTCCCCACCCTCGTAACTATCAAAGAATGTTTTCTTCTGTGTTTAAACCTTTTCTTGAGTTCTTGTAATAGTGGTCTTATACAATATTTGTCCTTTTGTGACTGACTAAATTCACTCAGCATAATGACCTCCAGATTCCTCCATGTTATAAGATGTTTCACGGTTTCATCGTTGTTCTTTTATCGTTGCATAGTATTCCATTGTATAGATATACCATAATTTGTTTATCCATTTGTCCATTGATGGGCACCTAGGTTATTTCCATCTTTTTGCTATTGTGAATAGTGCTGCATTGAACATGGGTGTGCATATGTCTATTCATGTGACGGCTCTTATTTCTCTAGGATATATTCCTAGGAGTAAGATCACTGGATCATATGGTATTTCTATTTCTAGCTTTTTAAGGAGGCACCATATTGTTCTCCATAGTATATTATTTTATATTCCCACCAGCAGTGCATAAGAGTTCCAATCTCCCTGCAACCTCTCCAACATTTATTATTTTTTGTTTTTTTGATTAGTGCCAGTATTGTCGAGGTGAGATGGTATCTCATTGTGTTTTGATTTGCGTTTCTCCAATGGCTAATGAACGTGAGCATTTCCTCATGTCTGTTAGCCACCTGAATGTCTTCTTTTGTGAAGTGTCTGTCCATATCCTTTGCCCATTTTTTAGTTTTTAACTTACTCTTTGGATTACCTGGAAATTTACTCTTGAAGCAGTCTTTTATTGATATTGCCTTGCTCTCCATTTTAAAGTTCTATACCTGTACCATTTATTCCTTCTTTTATTGTTTTGACATTGTCATCGTTTACAGATTGAGATCCCTGTTTCCGTGTTTTAAGTCTGTTAGCTTTGTATTATTATTGAGAGTTCTTTACTTAGGTTGGTATCTCGCTGATGCTGTCCTGTGTCCTACACTCTGGTTGTTGTCTCATGTTGTTGGTTCTCTCACTGAAGGACTTCCTTTAATATTTCTTGTAAGTTTGGTTTGGTTTTTATGAATTCCCTTAATTTCTGTTTATCTGGGAATGTCCTAATTTTGCCATCATATTTGAGGAAGAGTTTTGTGTGGGATATATTATTCTCGGTTGGCAGTTTTTTTTCTTTCAAGTTGTTATATATGTCTTCCCATTACCTTCTTGCCTGCATACTTACTGCTTAGTAATCAGAGTTTAGCCTTACTGGTTCTCCTTTGTAGGCAACTTTTTGTTTTTCCCTAGCCACTCTCAGGTTTCTTTCTTTGTCTTTGTTTTTGACAAGTTTGATTATGATATACCTTGGTGACTTTCTTTGGGATGTATCATATATGGGGTTCGTTGAGCTTGGGTGGATTCTTCTCGTCTTTCATATTAGCTTAGTTTTCTACCAAAAAAATCTTCAACAATTCTCTGTGTTTTCTACTACCCCCTGCCTCGCCGCATTCCAGAGCTCCAATCACATGTTAAGTTTTTCCTCTTGATAGTGTCCCACTGATTCTTAGGCTTTCCTCATTTTTTTAAATTCTTTTTTCTGATTTTTCCTCAAACAAATTGGTGTCAAGGAATTTATCTTCAGTCTCAGTAATTCTGTCTTCCATTGTCTCAGTTCTGTTCCTATGTCCTTCTGTTGAATTCTCTAATTCTGAAATTTTGTTGTTAATCTTTTGGATTTCTAGTTGCTGTTTTTGTATGATTTCTAATAGCCTATTTATTCTGTTGTTTTGTTTTTGTATTGTTTTCCTGAATTCTTCTATTGTTTTGTCTGTGTTTTCCCTGAACTCTTTCTTAATCTCTTGGAGAGCTCTGTATGTTAGTCTTTTGAATTCTTTATCAGGTAGTTCCATTGCCTTATCTTCCTCCAAAAGGTTTTCTGGGTCTTTATTTTGCTCGTTTGCTGGAACCATCTTATGTGATTTGATATTGACTATTGTCGCCAAGGCATCAAGAAATTTTTATATTTATTTATTTATTGTATGTTTGTTTACTGCATCCTGAATTTTAGTTTAGTTTTGTTTTGATATATCCGTGTAGGCTGGGCATGTGTGCTAATCTGGTCACTGATCTTGCCACATTGGTGGACTAAGCAGCTACTAGGTATATGAGCATGGGTCCCTGCTTGATGTTCTTGTGGGGCTACTGAGGATGTAGGTGATGTTTTGGTGAGGTGATGTATCTGTCCTGCTGGTCACCAGGCACTTGGTGCAGGGAGTGTTTTCCTGGTCATTGGGTTGGGTGTTGTGTGTGTGCTCCTCCACTTGCCAAATGGTTGAGGCAAAGGTACCTGGGTCATCAGTCACCAAGTGTGTGGTGCAGAGACTCTCACTTACAGTCCTGTGGGCAGGGCTGCATCGGGGTGTTCGGAGCAGGCACAAGTCTCCAGTTACAGTGGGGTGCAATGCAGGGGGTGACACAGGGTTGTCAGCTGCCCATGGGTGCCTGGTTGGAGGGTACGTCCCTGTCCTCTAGAGTGCATTGTAGGGGGTTTGTGCAGCCAGTCCTTGGGTGCCCAGTGGCATTGGCTGGAAGTATTAGGGGGCCACTGGTCCTCAGGCCCCTGCTTGGATGGCTGGATGGAGTGGGTGGTACCGTGAGCCCTCAGGTGGTTGAGCTGCCTTCTTAGGGTATGGGGCACTGGTGGATGCCACTGGCCTGCAGCTCCCACTTGGCTGCTGCAGGTGAAGTAGGCTTCAGGCGGGAACCCTGCCCACCTTGTCCCAATATGGCCGTGCTGTGCCAGCTCGACCAGCAAGGCGCTGGTGCAGGTGATCGGGGGAGATGTAGTGCACTGCAAGTCTGTGGCCCCCTGTTGCCAGTGGCTGGGCAAAGGGACACACACCTCAGACCGAGCTGAGAGCTTCCAGCTTAGGGGATGGGCGGTGTGGAATGCGACAGGTCTGTAGCTCCTTTTTGGCTGCTGCAGGTGAAGTAGGCTTCAGCTGGGAACACTGCACACCTTGTCCCAGTGTGAAAGTGCTGTGCTGGCTCAGCCAGTAAGGCACTATTCCAGGTGATCAGAGGGTATGGTGGGTGCTGCAAGTCTGGGGGCGAGGTGGTGTCAAATGCCACAGGTCTTCAGCTCCTGCTTGACTGCTGCAGGTGAAGTGGGTTTCAGCTACGAACACTGCCTACCTTGTCCCAATGTGGATGTGCTGTGCTGCCTTGGCCGACAAGGTGGTTGCATGGGTGATCAGAGGACATGGAGGGTGCTGCAAGCCCATGGATCCCCTGCACCAGTGGCTGGGTGAAGGGGCAGTCACCTATGGACTGGGGCCGTGAGTTCCCAGTAGAAGGGGCATGGCAGTGTCGAATGCCCTGGACTGGTGTCAGAACAGGGAGAAGGACGAGTGAGGTCGAGGGAGTGCTCCTAAGCCTGTGGAACACTGGGTTGGGTGCATACACTTAACTTTCACAGGTCTGCTATCACTCCATGTTGACTCTGGAGGTGTGTGCAGAGTCGCTTCTGCTTAGCTGTACCAGGAGGGGTGGGTTTTGGCTGGGGATGCTGCTGCTTGCCTCAGTGTGTCCACACTGTGCAGGTTCCCCTAGCAAGACTCCTGTGATCCATAATCCTTTGTTTCTGCTGTTTTTGAATTGTCTTTCCTTCCACCTGTCACTCAGTCTGATCCTTCAGCTTTGTCTTTGATGCTTAGGGTTCCTAGATTGTCATATATATCCGATTAACTTATTTTTTCAGGTCTTTGTTATAAGAGGGACAACACGAAGCATGTAACTATTCTGCCATCATGGTCCACCTCCGCCCTCTGTTTTTTTACCTCCTAAACTAATTATTGCAAAACAATCCAGATAGTTGTATTTATTGAGACTTTGCTGTGAATATTTCCCTGTATTTGGGAACTCTGCGAATAAATAAACTATTATAACAATAAAAAACCCAAACCCATTGTGATTGAGTCAGTTTGACTCATAGTGACCCTATAGGACCAAGTAGAACTGTTCCGTAGGGTTTCCAGTGCTGTAATCTCTATGGAAGCAGACTGTCACATCTTTCTCCCGTGGAGTGACTGGTGGGTTTGAATTGCCAACCATTCAGTTAGCAGCTGAGCACTTAACCACTGTACCATGATGGCTATAACAATAGCTGGTATTAACTGAGTATTTACTGTGGGGCTTCGTATCCATCATCTCATGTTAATGAGGCAGCATTGTGATGCCCATTAAGGATCAGATTGGTGAAGTACCTTTCCCAAAGTGACCTTCAGTTCAAACTCTGGTCTTTTGTGCATAAAACCAATACTTATAACAATTTCCCTATGAATTTCTTTCTAGGGTATCGTCTGCTGGTCCATAGTATGCATGTACAGCCTTTTTCTTTCTCTAGTTATACTTGTTTCACCAGGCAGTACATGGCAATTACTGGTAATCACGTTGGAATGTCTCCCAAATGTGAATTGTCTGATGTTTGTATTTCAGATTCAGGGATCAGTTTACTTCATAAAAAATCATTAGAAAAGGAAGAATTATGCCAAAGACTTAAAGAACAATTAGATGCTCTTGAAAAAGAAACTGCATCTAAACTATCAGAAATGGACTCATTTAACAATCAACTAAAGGTATTTATCTCCAATTATATTCATTTTTAGTTAGCTACCCAGTCTTCCTTGTTTTGATTTAATAGAATGAATAACTGAAGGCTTTTATTGTTGTAAGTAGGACATTTTCATAAATTATTTTACATTTTGAGCTATACCAGAATTTGCAAGATTGTTTTTTATGTTCTTTGTAGATATTACAGATGTTGTATTATATAGCTAAACGTACTATTTTCCAGTTTCCAGTATTTGATGATTGTGTGTTGTTTTTATTAGAATCTATACATTTCAAGAAGAATTTGCCTTTGTCAGTATTACAGAACTGATCTTTGCCAGCATGATCTTAGCCAACATTCTGAAATGGGAAATACGGACAATTTAAAACAGTTGAGGTGGTAGAGGCTGATTTTAACATACTAAATTCTTTTTATAGTTGTTTCTTTGTTACAGTTTAATTAACCTTTGTGAAATAATGCAATAATCAGTGAAAACCAGAGCATAATTGGCACTATAAATTTTTGCATGAGAAGTAAGTTCATGATGCATTGTTTGCTGCTGTGGCAGAGCAGATGTCTGAAACATACAATGTTCTTGTAGATTTGTCACTCTGTGCAGTATTAGTTATATATTTAAGCCATACTTAATGAAAGAAGATAATAAAAGCTAAAAACCATAGCACATAATTCAAATTTGGGAATAGTGTCAGTTATTCTTTTGCTGAGTATATTCAGTGAAAAAGTATTACATAGCTTTTCAGGTAGCTATCTTTTATCTTACTGATTTATTTAGACTAATATTAACAACAACTATAGAATAAATAGCATGATAAAAGAGACCCTGGTGTCTTCATTGAAGGAGGATAAATTTGAGATGAATAATGTTAATAATATGTTTTACAAGCATATAGTCTGTACAAAAATAATTTAAAGAAAAAACAAATCATTTGTCATTGATGACAAAAAAGCCAGCCAAGTTACCTTTCCTACATTATTTTTTTTAAAATCTGTGCATAGTTTAATTGGCTTTTTATCTGCCTTATCTTACAGTGTGGGAATATGGATGACTCTGTTCTTCAGTGCCTTTTGTCTCTGCTAAGCTGTCTCAACAACCTCTTCCTCTTACTTAAGGTTATTTTCTAATATCTAGCTCCTTTTTTTTTTTTTTTTTTAGTTACTTTACCATTTTCTTTCTTTCTTTTTTGTTTTGTTTACCTAGACTATTCTTTGCATTTATCTGAATATCTTTGACTGAAATAACATATACAATGTAGACCTTTTTTCTTTCTGCTTGCTTGAATACCCTTCTGCTGTCTAACTGCCTGTTTGAGTCTAATGCCAGAAATTAGTAAGGTTGCCCAAAGTAACCTTCCTCATGGGCCCAGGACACTTGGAAATATTAACTGGTTCCCTTACAACCTCTCTGTGAGTTGGGTTAACAAATAGGATGATCACTAATTCAATTCAAAGGAAAGCTAAGGGGAAGTGAGAGTAAGTCATTTACCCATATCACTGAAAATCATTATTTAAAATAAAATTTAGACTTTCTGAAATCTAGGATAAAGTTATGTCAGATATATACCATGCTGTTCCTAATGCTGCTGTAAGAAAATTCTTGCAGAATTAAATAATGTAGGAACAGCTTTAGTTGGATCTAGTTACTGGGCCTCCATTTAGAGAAACTTGCACTTTAGATACAAAAAATGTATAAATCGTGTATATAAATAAATAGCTAATATACGGAGTATTTAAAGTAGTGAATTCTTATTTCAATATTTTAAAGATACTTTATACTAACCATTTGCTGACCCTGGTAGATTTTAAGTGTACATTCTACTTGGTGCTAAACCTGATGGCAGGAGGGCAGTTGCGTACACGCACCACAGTGAAGACAGGGACATGATAAGGAGAGCTCATTTGTTGCCTAAGCAAAGGTAGAGCAAATTGGAAAGAAGGATAGCAGCAGGATTCCCAAATTTCAGCTTTCATAGTTAGTGACATGAATGGCCAGGTTATCTGGTCTTAGAACTTGTACTACAGATTGTTCAGAAACTCAGATTTCTTCACCTGTAAAATTAGATTTGATGATTTGTGGACTGTACTAGCTCACATAAGTCCAATTCTTTTCAGTTAGCATTTGATTCTCCGCAGGCCAGCAGATTATCCTTGTCTCTTGTTTTACTTTCTTCCTTCTGCTTCCTGCCTTCTAGCCTTTCACTGCTTATTGATACTTTCATCAGAGGCAATTTAGGAAACTAAAGGGGGATGAAACGTACACTGCCAGAGTGGCCAGGAGACTGTGTTGTCACAGAAAGGAAAGGAGGCCTTCTGTGGTCATTACTATAAAATGACACAGATAGCTTAATTAACATAGTACTGAAAACTATGCTTTGAATTTGACCTTTGGAGACTTTGCTAAAAGTGCCATTTCGGTTGAGTGATGAGCAGAAGCCGATCACAGTGTATCAGGAATGAATGTGCGTTAAGGAAGTGGCTAAGTGAGTATCAACAACTCTTAGGAGAGTGAGAAGAGAGTATGGAGTCAGAGGAAAACTTTCTTTTAGTTTAAGAAACACTTTAAAGAGACATCAAAGAGGGAAGAGGTGGAGAGAGATTTTTTGATTGATTAATTATATAGGAGAGAGAGAGAGAGAATTGATAGAGTGAAGACCCCAGGGAAGCAAATTGAGATAGATTCCAGAGCGTAGGTTTAAGAATTAAATGAAAAGGGTACATTCTTCCAGTGTAACATATGGGGAGAAGATGGATGTGGATATGGTTAAATTTGTTGGTGGAAAGCAGAAAGTTGACAACTTCAAGACTTATAATCAGAAGTAAGTTGGACCGTTAGAAGGAATCCTCTAGGGTAGTGGAGGACGTGGAGTAACCTCATTCTAGACCAGAAGATGGGTGCAGATCCAGGAAGTTTTACTGATTTAGAGTTGGAAGGATAAGGGGTTCCAGTCTAATAGCTTAATGAGGCAAGGCTCTTAGCTGTTAATGAGAAGAATAAATAGAAGATTAGGAAGTTTGAGGAGAGAGGCTTAGGCATAAAATAAAGATTTCAGAGGGTGAGAACAAGTTTAGTAAAGCTTAGTAAAACACTGCTCATGTACTGAGCAGTGTTGAATGCCTATTTGAAGTTGGAGGGCATGAACTTAAGTTGAAAACAGCATGTCTAATTGTATGATTTTTATCCACTAATGTTCAGCTGCTTAGATGTAAGCACAGAGAAGGCTGATGAAATAGGTTCATACTTGTTTGGTGTTTTAACAGCTATGGACAAAGAGGGAGGGATAAGGAAGTTATGTACTTTGATGAAAGAATCATGATTAAGATGAATGCCGACATGAAGGGATTTGAGGAAAGGAAGGGTGCTGATGGAAAAAAGAATGATGGGGTTAACAGAGGGAGGTCTCAACAAGGTTAAAAAACCTGTTGAAATGGAGGTACCAGGTATAAAAAAAAAGGTTGAAAGGTAAGAAAATATGTTCAAAGAATGGGATATTTGATCAATGATAGTTTTGTTTCTGATGATTATAAGATCCCAGGTGTAGTAATGGGAATGATGGATTAAGTGGAGTAAAAATGGTCATTGGTGAGGAGAGCAACCTGAGGTTTGGTTTTGATTGGGCCATCTCTGTGGATATCAGAGATGTGGAAAATAGTGAGTATGAATGAATGCAGCTCAGTGGCTAGGAGATCTCTAGATAACAGTAAAAGGTGGGGTGGTGTTATTGCTGCATGTTGGGAGCCTCAGCAAAGAATGGAGTTTGTAGGACTTAGGGAGATTAATGGTCTGGAGATGGAAATAAAGAGCAGAGAAAATAGTAAAATTATCCTCTGACCCTGATGTAAGTGGAGTGTTTAATGATAAACTGAGGAAGAACTGGAGAAAGAGCAGTGTCCTGAAGGATCAGCCAAGAAGGCAGGGAGGTAAGAAGGAATTTCCATTCAGAGAAGAGTTTGAGGATATGTGCGAGTTTCCGGATCACAAAGAGGGAATTCTAGGATAATGGAGGGGTTTGAAGAGAGGAGGAGGAGCCTTTAGGTCAGATGAGGGGAATAAACAACACTATAGGAGTAAGAATTCAAGTGATAAAGGATGACAAGAAAGGCTAGGCCTGTTGGCAGGTGAGATGGAATTGGTCCTGATGGTCTTGGAGGAGGGCAGGCAGTGAATTCTAATGCTGTGGTCCTTGGGGACTTCAGAGCATCTGGGACAATCACACGTTTAGTCTACTTGTGGTGACTACAGCAGTATACTATTTAAAATTATCTTGGAAAGTTATGTTTTATGGGACCCTATAATATAGATGTACAGGAGTGATGATAATTTTTGCGCTTTTGGTCAAGTTACAGCAAAATAAATAGCAAAACTAGTGGGTTCAGAGATGAGACATTTGACAAACCATTATTCTGTTAAGAAAATTCGTACATTATCCTGTCTTTAGCAGCGAAGGACAATGGAAAAAGTACTGGCCTGGGGATCCGAATATTAGTCCTACTTATGCCACTTACTAGCTGTGTAACTATCGTTTAACCTCCAAATTTTGGTTTCTTCATGTACAAAATGAAGCCAATAATATCTGCTCTGCCTTCTTTGCAGAGTTCTATGATGATCAGATGAGACGGAATGTATATGAACATGCTTTGTGAACTGTTACATGTCATACAAATATTTTTTGTTGTTCTAATTAGGGAGGGGGTTGTTCTGACTCTCCAAAATACTTTTAGTGTGTTGGAAAGTCACCACTGTTGACTTCTGGATAATGATTGGGAAAGTGCTTTTCCTTTAAGGAAAAGTAGAGTCTGTCATCACCAGAATTGTGGCTTACTCTAGTGGACTGTGTTATTATCATATACTCCCAGGGTTCTGCGATAACATAGTGATACCTCTCCAAGTGCAAGGTGAGATATTGACTTACACAAATGACAGTAAGGGCTAGCTAATTTGGGGACTGGGGTCCCTGGGTGGTGCAGACGGTTAACACACTTGGCTACTAACCAAAAGATTGGATGTTC